CTCCTATATATAGTGGAGGTATAGGAGCAGCCCAACACACGAAGTTCTTCTCCTGTTGGCGCAGCCCTACCTCTCTTTCTCCTCATATCTCACGGTGCTTGGCGAAGCCCTGCAGGATTGCCACGCTCCTCCACCACCACCACGCCGTTGTGCTGCTGCTGGACGGAGTCTTCCTCAACCTCTCCCTCTCTCCTTGCTGGATCAAGGCATGGGAGACGTCACCGGGCTGTACATGTGTTGAACGCGGAGGTGCCGTCCGTTCGGCACTAGGATCTCCGGTGATTTGGATCACGACGAGTACGACTCCTTCAACCCCGTTCTCTTGAACGCTTTCGCTTAGCGATCTACAAGGGTATGTAGATGCACTCTCCTTCCCCTCGTTGCTGGTTTCTCCATAGATAGATCTTGGTGACACGTAGGAAATTTTTTGAATTTCTGCTACGTTCCCCAACAGGGGTCGGTCGGGTGGATGTGAACTGGCTTTGTCTCACCGGACGACTGAAACGCTGATTCTGTAGCGGGCTTCTTAGCTCGCAACAAATCACTTGGGTCCGCATTTCTCTGGTGTTCCTACCACTCTTCTGCTACCATCTGAGCGTAGGTGATCTTTGAGCCTTTCTGAAAGCACTCTTTCGCCTTCTTCCGATTGCCAGTAACAGTGATCACACCTTTGGGGCCAGGCATCTTCAATTTGAGGTACACGTAACATGGTCGAGCCATAAAACGTGCATAAGCTGGCCTGCCCAAAATAGCATGATAGGCACTCTGGAAATCCACAACCTCAAATGTCAACTTTTCCTTGCGGAAATTTTTGGAATCACCGAAAACCACATCAAGAGCAATCTGGCCGACTGACGCAGCCTTCTTGCCAGGAATGACTCCATAGAAACTCATGTTGTTGGTACTGAGTCTGGACATCGGAATGCCCATCCCTTTTAGCGTCTCTATGTACAGTATATTCAAGCTACTGCCACCATCCATCAACACTTTAGTCAGTCGAGTGCCTTTGACGACTGGGTCAACCACCAGAGCTTGCCTCCCAGGGGTGGCTATGTGTGTCGGGTGATCGGACTGGTCGAACGTGATGGCAGTTTGAGACCATTTCAGATAATTGGGAGTCTCCGGAGCAACCATATTCACTTCTTGGTTGATAACTTTCAATCGACTTTTGCTCTCAACGTCAGCAAAAATCACCAGAGTGGAATTGACCTGGGGATATTCCTCATCACTATCCCCCTTGTCCTCAACTTTGTCCGACTCCTTTTCCTTATCTTTGGGTTGTTTCCCTTGGAATTGCTGTATCAAGAGCCGACACTGTCGAGTGGTATGTTTTGGGTAAATGAAGTTACCCTCTTCATCTTTCTTCGTGTGGATGTGGCATGGCAAATCCAGCACGTCATTTCCCTCCTTGTCTTTCACCTTCTTGGGGTTCCAAGGTCCTTTGGGCTTCCCTTTAAACTTTCCTTGAGTCACGGCCAATGCTTCTCCAGGAGCAGCTGGCTCGGCTTTTCGCTTTTGCTTCCGACTGGAGTTCCCTCCTCCGGTTTCCTGGGCGACTGACTTGTGCTTGCCACCCATAGCCGATCTTCTTCTTCACCATTGGCATATTTGGTGGCTATCTCCATCATTCGACTCACAGACATGTCTCCGGTTCAACCGAATTTCAGGCTTAGCTCTCTGTACTTAACGCCTTCCTTGAAGGCACAGACCGCCTGGTGATCAGATACATTCTCTACCGTGTGATGTAATGTGATCCATCTCTGGATGTAATCTCTCAAAGTCTCATCCGACTTCTGCACACAAGTTTGCAACTCTGTCAGTCCTGCTGGTCGCTTGCATGTTCCTTCAAACGTTCTAACAAACACCCGGGAAAGATCTTCCCACGTGTAAATGCTGCTGGGTGTCAACTGATTCAACCATGCTCTCACCGATCCTTCCAACATAAGAGGCAGATGTTTCATGGCCACCTCATCATTTCCAACGCCGATCTGGACAGCCACTCGGTAGTCTTCAAGCCAAGTATCAGGCTTAGACTCACCATTGAACTTACTGACTCCAGTCGTCAACCTGAAGTTGGGGGGAATCACCGCGGCCCTGATGGCTCTGCTGAAACACTCTGGTCCTGGGACATGCACTCGGCTGTTGGTGGGTACATCTCTGTCGTGACCCTCTCGGTGAGCTCTGTTCCTGTCGACCAGACCTTGAACGATGATGGATCTCGCGTCAAAGCCTGGTCCCCTGGGGTCGACTGGAATCCTTCGCCCACCACTGTGCTGGCGTCTATCATCCTGTTGTCGAGGTGCGTACGATCCACCCCTTGAGGGAGGGGTGGGCACTCGACGTTGATCATCGCGATCGAATCGGTGATCATACTGCTCACGGTTCTTGTACTGATCGTGCCGGTCTCCACGCCCCTCACGCCTCGGGGGCGATCTGGGGCTATGAGCCGACTGGACTGTATTCGCAGCTACGGATCTGCTGTGAATCCTATTCCACGACTGTGATACAGCTAAATTTTGATCTCCTGCTGCCCGGAGCAAATCTCTGATCTGCATCAAGCCTCTGCCAGCCTCTGACTGGGAAGGCTGAATTGACTCTGCTATACGGGCTGCAGCTGCTAAATTCTGAATCGGAGTTCGATATACCCGAGTCGGTGGTGGAAAGAGCTGACGCCGACTGGAGTCCGGAACCCGTTGCCGCGCACGCTCGTCGAGTGCTCGCTGAAGGTTCTCCAGTCGAGTGCGCTCAGCCAAGTTGGCCAAGCGCGCGTCCTCTAAGGCACGAGCCTCAGGGGTTTCTCCAACGATAGGAGTGTGAAGTGCATCCATGTTCCGGCGGCGAAGTTCTTCCCTTTGCAGCAAAGTGAGGGGCTCGGGGTGATACTCCTCATGGGCACGCGACGGGTCGCCTCCGTCGTCGCCGGGAAAACCGGGAGGACCACGTGGTCCATCGACCATCAGAACCTCCGCCGCTGGATCACTAGTGTCGCATTCGGATGCAGTCTCTGCAGAGCCAGTCGACAGGTCGAATAGGCCGTAGAGAGATTCGTCGGGCTCGATTGCCGCGACTTGAGGGGTGGCCGACTAGCGGGCCGCCGCGTGCCTCACCCACCGCTGAAGCCTTGACCGACCGGAGCGCTTGCGCCGGCGGGAAGCAGGGAGGGAGGATGACACAACGACCGACCGATACTGGGTCAACGGTTGTCGTAGGAGGACGTCACGGACGCACGCGCGAAAGTGCGTCGCTCCGCGGACTGGGAGCGTGTCGATGTTGAGTGGAGCCTCCTGAAGCCAAGCAAAGTCGTCGGCGATGAACGTGAGCGCGCCGAGATGGATCTCGCGGCCCTCGACCAAAACTCCGCTTGAAACCATGATGAAGGAGATCGAAAAAATTGTAACTTCTTCAATAAGTCGCTAAGACACCTGCCCCACGGTGGGCGCCAACTGTCGTGGTTCTAAGTCTGACAGTAGTGTAGGGGGTACTAATGGAGAGGCAAGATCCTAGCTATGGAGTAGTTGTATACGCACGAGTTTTACGAGTTCAGGCCCTTCTCGGAGGAAGTAACAGCCCTACGCCTCGGAGCCCGGAGGCGGTCGACTGGATTATATGTGTATAAGTTACAGGGGTGCGAACCCTTTACACTGAGGAGGGGGTGGCTTATATAGAGTTCGCCAGACCCCTCCAGCCCTCAGTTATGCAGGTTTAAAGTACATTAAGACAGGGGTTACTGGTAACGCCCACATAAAGTGCTATGAAGACCATAAAGGCTACTTAATGACATACTGTTACGTGCAGAGTGACTTTAGGTTTCCTATTGGTCGAGTGCTTGGTTTCGTGGTCGAGTATCTTCGAGTCCGTCGAGTGGAACCTTTGCAGGTCGACTGAAAGGTGATGTCTTCTAGAGATGTCCTTGGGTAGGGTGTCTTGGACAAGTCCATGACCCTACCCTAGGTACATGGTTTCATCAGGCGCCGCCGGCCTACGTCGACCTCGTCAGCGACGATGACGACACCGGCGGCCAGTGAAGACGGTGACGGCACCGACGGGCGCGGCAGGAGCGCGCGGGAGGCTTTTTTTATTTTGTTTTTATGTTAATTATGAAACTGGGCCGTTTAAGTGGATTGAGAGAGTGGGCCATTTTATGGCCGTGACCCCTATATATGTTTTATATTTTTTTAAATGCGTTTATTTACTTTTTAAGTCATTTCATTCTAGTTTTTATATTTTTTTATCCACGTCCACTCCCGACATGATTTGGGGTGCGGCCGCGCGGTGGACGCACGCACGACCCAACGGACAAAGCCAGATACGGACAAATCCATCAGCATCTCAAACGGACAAAATCCGGCCAATCCGGACGTCCATTGGGGTCGTGTGCGGTGGAGTTTTTTTTTTTTGAAACGTGTGCGGTGGAGT